CTTATCAACATCTTTCCTAAAATGATGCCCAGAACTCAATACTTCAGATGTGGTCTGAGCAGGGAAGATCATAGTAGAAGTAATTACCTCCCAGTTGTTGTTGTTTACCCTTTGTTCTTGAAGAGGACCACGACATCAAGGAGGTGATGTCATGACATGCAAGTGAATTGGATTTAAGTGAGGAATGGCTGTGCAAAGTCACCACCTCACTTTGTCCTCCAGAGCCATCTGGGTCCAGTGACAATATATAGATCAGAATGACTGGAGATGGCTCTGGATGCAGTGGGATAAGCTAAGTCTTTAATAGGTCTCAGTTTGACTGAGGCAATGTCCATTCAGTGATTAAGGCTAGGAAACAAATGAGGCAGAGAATAGCCTCTTTTACCTAGTTGAGGGTGGGTTTTGGGGGCAGGGGAATCAACCTGGGAGGGGAAGACCCTCCAGGTTTCTGGCCAAAATAGAAACAAGTGCTATTTGCATTCACTCTGAGCCAATCAGGGCCCAAACAATGACCAAGTGTGACTTGGCCTGGGACCTATTGCTGGCCAATCAAAGACAGCCAGAGTGATTTGGGTTTAAGGCATGGTCCTCTAGCCTGTAAACCCCAAGATATCTTGCATCTTGTTAGATTTCAGTGATCAAAATGCACATTCCTTTGGGTAGATCACCTGAAGGTAAGGGTATGATACCTTTTTTGGACAGAGGGAAGGCAATGGAAGGCAAGGGAAGGGAAGGGAAGGGTATATCCTCAACTTCTTGACTTCTTATTGATTAGGTGGGATTCTGAGGCTTTTTTTGGGGGGGAAGGTACTCTGGAAACAGAATTCTAGGTCTTTTTAATGTACTTCTAGAGCTTGACATTAATGCAAAAGGCTATGTGTGGACTAGACATTGCTATTTTGAGGAACCACAGGGAAATTATCTTTCCTATGGCACAATTATCTGTCTCTGGGTAGAAAAACAGAGAGCACCTGCTCAACTTGCCATATTCTATTGTATATTAGTCATTCCCAACTCTATACTACTATCATGTGCCTTTCTGTCTTCTTAATCAAGTACAAAAGACTATGAAATGTTTAGGTTTTGCCCAGCTTGGAGAAAACACTTCCTAGGGAATGTACCTATGGTCAGAGACTATAAAAAATAAAAAAATGTTTTGCCTAAATAAGAATTTACAGAGTTAGTGAATCAAGTTTTCAATAGTACTGTTGCTTCCTTTTACACGTTACCAAGGAAAATTTTGACAAAAGTAAAAAAGCTACCATTTCATAATAGACAGCAAATTGAACCTTAAGTTGACAGATCTGAGTTCTAGCAGGTGCTGGTGAGACCTTACTTGCTCAGGGATGAATCTCAGGATATTATGGATCCCAGCTCTCATCTCTGAATTTCACGTATGCAGTTCAACAGAAATTTCTGGAGGCCCTGAAGGTAAAGTGCAGCTTGCAAATCACTGTGATTGACTGGCATATGATATCATGGAGAGAAAAGATAAACTGTGTTCCATGTAACTCAGTGAAGCCCTTTTAAGTGAAGACCAAAAAAGGATTTTATAGAGACATTCTCACATGAAATGATATCTGTTCATTTCTTTGTCAGGACAGTGATAAAGACCAGGAAGAGCATGGCTTTGAATTTTGCAAACAAACCAATCTGTTGTACAGGAAGGGGCTCAATTTGAACTGATTTTCAGATCTGCTGTTGGAGTTCAGTCTAGATACTTAGTTATCTGAGGTCCCAGTTTCCTCATCTGTAAAATGAATGGATTGGATTAGGCAAACAGAGGTTAAGTGACTTGCCCAACTTCATATAGCTAGTAAGTATCTGAGGCTAGATTCGAACTCAGATCTTCTTGACTCCAGGCCTGACTTAGCAAAGGTAACAGAATTCTGGTACTACAATGCTCTTTTTTCCTCATGGAGTCTATTTGTAGACTGTTCCCCACCCAATGCCTCTGCTGGGCGATTTGCTTAGTTGGGATCCCAACATCTATTTATCTTTCCACATCTCAATTCTGGATTGCCACGACGAGCGCTCTTTTGAGTCCGTAGCTAGCTCTCTTTTTTGCTGCCAGAGGTTCCAACTCCTTGAAGTTGCTTGAACATAGCATTGCAGTGTCCACATCTGTGTGGAGAGTGTATATCTCTGCCACCTGCTGGATATGTTGTCTGGTGTTGGTCAAGTAGTTGTGCTCTAAGGTACCATGGCCGATGGAAAGGTGGAGAGGACAAAGAAATCCTTTTCACTTTCTACAGGGATTGCACTTCTTCATTTCTCAACAGGCTTCACTCTGGACTTCTCTGTCATGCCCCACAAGCCTCTGAATCCTAGAAGATCATTTCATCTCTGGAATCCACACTTTGAAAGTACTCCCCTCCCCACTTCCCATCTCTCATCGTAAGCCTTAAGAAATATTTGTTGACGTACTGACACTCCACAAAGCCTCCTAACTTGGACTGATTCCAACTCTTGAACTCTTGACTGCTGTTTCCAGGGTTTAGCCTTAAAAGCCTCAAGGGGCCTGATCAATTTGCTCATCCAAACGCCAGGCTCTATTTGAATTGATTTCCTTCATGTTCTTCAAATACGGTTCTTCTTCTTCATGAAGCCTTTCCTGGTTTCCCTGCTTCTATTGCAGCTCCTCTCAAAACCATCTTGTTTTCATTTTGTATAAGTAACACCTCGTTCAGGCAGCTAGGTGGCACAGTGGACAGAGTGCTAGGCCTGAAGTCAGGAAGACTCAACTTCATGAGTTCAAATCTGGCCTCAGACACTTACTAGCTGTATAACCTGGGTAAATCTCTTAACCCTGTTCGCCTCAGTTTCTTCATCTGTAAAATGAGCTGGAGAAGGAAATGGCAAACCACTCCAGTGTCTTTGCCAAGAAAACCTCAAATGGGGTCACAAACAGCAGACATGACTCAACAACAACAATAACAACTTACCAGATTGCTCTGACTAGGTGCAGATTCTTTTGGATTAAATCAAACAATCAGAACCTAGTATGAACAGAGATTTAGTTAAGGCACGAGAGGGAAATGAAGTGTTTTCAAATCTTACATATATAATCTGTATATATTTAAAGATGTACTTGTGGTCTTCTCATTAGAATATAAGCTCATTGAGGGCTAGATTGATTCCTCAGTTCAGAGACTACCTTGACTAATGATATAGCACTAGCCTCAGAGCCATGAATACTTGGGTTCAAGACCCACCTCTGACACTCATTGATTGGTCAAATCATTTAACTGTCCATTTGCTAAACTAGCAGTTCTCCCTGTGATCTGAGGACCCCTAGGGGTCCCTGAGGTCAGGTCAACACTATTTTCATAATAATACTAAGATGTTATTTGCCTATTAAAATAATTTTCCGTTTTTCAACTATATATTTTGAGGCCAGGTTTTCTTCATATACATGGCCCAAAACAACATCTCATAAGACTGAATACAGAAGCAGATAGAGAATCTAGCTGTCTTCTATTAAGCCAGATATTAAAGAGATTTGCAAAAAATATATAAAACAATCCATGTTTCTCATTTAATTTTAGTTTTGGGTAATATAATTACTTTTCACAAAATACTACATGTACATTAACATGTAATGAGTTTATTACATTATTTAAAAATGAAACAGATGTTTCAAAAATTATCAATTTTCATTTCTAATTCGGTAATCTTTAGGTATAACTCACATAAACAAAAGCTCTTTGGTGTACTCAGTAATTTTTTAAGAGTGTAAAGGGGTCCTGAGACCTGTTCTAGGCTACTCTCTAGGATTAAGGTGCTGAGAAGTTGCCTAACCTGCCCGGGTAGGGGAGCCTCTTTCTCATCTGGGAGTTGGCTATATGAATGAAATCACAGGTCCCAGTCACTAGCCCCACGTTCGCAAATGCTTGTTGATTAAGTAATTCATCAGAAACTGGTGTTCTCCTTCCAGAAAAGGGCCACAGAGGGTCAACAGCAAGTTAAAACATTAACGGCGAATTAACAGATCAATACCTCATTACCACTGTTATTCCCGATTCCCCCCCATATATCAGAGGTGGAGGAAATCAATTTTACAAAGACCAACTAAACAACCCCCCCCCCATACACCCAGATTTCTTTGACTCGAAGCATTGTGGAACCAACACATCCTTTTATAAGCTGGTATTTCTCAAGCTAGATGCCCAAACTTATTAAGAACAAACTATAACGAGATCAACCCCATTCCACTACAGAGACCCTTGTAGAGGGACCAAGTAAAGGCTTCCTTGTCTGTGCAGGGCAACTGGGCACGTCTGCAGTACTGCCCATTGCCCTGCAGAGATCACCACTGCCCAGCTCCCAGGCTCGCGAAGGAGCGGAGGCTACCTCCTGACAGTCAGCGCGGGACACTCTGGCCCACCCGCGCAGACATCTATGATTTCCTAACCACCCCCCTCCCCCCCTACATCTTCCATCCACCTTCCCAGCCTTTCTGTGGCGGCGGCTGTCCGGCCGCCAGGGGGCGCGCTCGCCGCCGCTGCTGCCGCTCTCCGAGCTGCGCTGCCAGATCGCGTCCGCCATATTGGCTGCCGCAGCTGCCGCCGCCAGCCCCGCTGCCGCCACAGCCCCTGCCGCCTTTGCCTCTTCCTCCTCCTCTACAGCCGCCGCCGCCGCCGCCGCCCTTCTGATTCCTGTGTCCCGAGCGGTGGGGAGGAGAAGCGGGAGCCGGTCGGAGAAGGAGGAGGAGGAGGGGGTAGAAGGGGGTGGAGAGTGTGGGGAGAAGGAGGGAGCAGAGGGTGGAGAAGAGAGGCCGAGCGCGGGGCGGAGAAGAGCAGGAGCCGCGGCGGCTCGGCCCCTCCCCCGCCCGCCCCGGCTGCGCTTCTGTTCCCCAGCCCGGAGCTCCGCTCGTCCCAGCGGCCATGCCGAGGCCTCGCCGTCCCTGAGGGAGCCCGCCCCCTCCCCCCTTCCCCTCTATCCCCACCTCGGCCGCAGCGCCTTCGACCGCTCCCCGGCTCCCCTGGGCGGCCCCTGGCCCAGTCCCCTCTCTCTAGGCCGCCGCCGCCGCCGCCTCTTCCGCCACCGGGCGCTGGGGCCTTCGCACCGACAACATGGAGGCCGTGAAAACCTTCAACAGCGAAGTACGTATAGCAGGCCGGACCCCAGCCTTCTCCTCCTTACCCCGTGGGAAGGGCAGCGGGTAGGGACCCGGGCAGTCGGGGTGCGGGAAAGGGGGGGTGCCTAGGCTGCCCCTCCCCCTCAGCTCTCGGTGGGAGGAGGGACTCCTGGGCCCCGGGCCGGGGATGGGGATGGGGGGCTGGAGGCTTTGGCGCGTCCACTTAAATGTCCTTGGGCTTGGAGTGAAGACCAAAGCACCCAACGCACCCCTAAGACCGACGGGGTTCGTTTCTAGTAGTTAATTCTTCACCCCCAACCTCCATTCTCTTCTCTCCCTTCTTATTCCCCCCTCCCCCTTTTCCCAGGACCAGGCTCAGGGCCCCAGGGACCTTGGTGGCTCGAACTAGATAAAGGGTCCGATTTTCGAGGGGGGTTATTTTAAGGGGCTAGAGAATCTGTCCACGGGGGTGGTGATCGGTTGTGGTCCCATTACACGTTGTGTTTATTACTGGGATGCTGTTGACTAGGTAACGTGCCACCCAGAGAACCATGCAAAGGGGATGGAGGATAAGGAGGAGAGGTTATTCTGCAATTCCCTCCATCTTTCTCTTCCTTTTCTACCCCCTGCCCCCCCCAACACACACCAGGAAATAACACGGAAATGGTGAGAGAGGCCTGTGTATCACTGTGTCTGCTAGGGAGGAGGATGCTGAGGTAGAAAGCAGAAGCATCTCACAGGGGATATCTCAGATATAAAGATACCTAAAGGTTATGTGACTGTTAACAGGTCCACTTGGATTAGTTATTTCATTATCTGTTTCACTGATTCTGCTAATCTGAAGAAAGACTTGGTTAGATTCCTGAAGAATTATTTTCTGTTATAATTAAACTTGACAAAAAAAATCAAAAGCAAGCATTTTGTTACAGCATACTAGGAAATGTATTAGTTCAAATAAATATGTACATGACTTAGGATACTTTGGCTTACATATATGCACATGAAAACAAAGTGCTTTATCAGGAGGTCTGTGTATTTAAAGAAAATTGCACCTTGTCCACTTTTAGTTTCCTAGTTTGGCATTTATTTTGCAAGAGGTTTAATGTCTATTACTACATGTAACTTGAGCAGTTATTTTACTAAAGTAAGGCAAACATTTCCCATGATATTAATGCTAACCTATATAATCACTCATGTTACTATGATATTTTAAGTAAGAAAGAACTTAAAATACTCTTAACAGCTTTAGTTTATTTAATTGTTTCCACTTTTTAAAAAATGTCCCATTTAGTGCTGGGAAAATGTGCTTTTTGTCCATTTAGGAAAGTAGGCCAAAAATGAACTTGGACAACTCTTATAGAAACAGTCTTTCCATAGTAGGACAGAGTGTAATGGAATTATATGGAAAAAAAAAAGCTCTGAATTTTTTTCATGTCAGCAAGTATTCATTAAATACTTACTATGTGCAAGGTACTGAATCAAGAATTGACAGTATGACAGAATTTATATTCACTGATTAGACTAGAGGAATTGAAAAATGTTATTAGAGAAGACTTTCAGGATTTTCTTCCCAAATTCATGGCTATCTAGTGTGACCACTACATTTAGAAGGTTGTAGTTGACACTGGGTAGTGATATTAAAAAGCTTTGAAAGCTTTTTAGATTGAAAAGTACTTTACAGATACTATATACTATTAATATTTATTAATATTTTAACATACCTTGCATAGATAAACAATAACTTTAAACACTTTTTCGTTAGTGTTTAGAACACGAAATATTGCTTTAAGAATGGAGAAAAACTTACTGAAACCCTTTAACTTATTTTTACCTGGATATAATAAAACAATATATCCTTAGGTGTGTGGGGATTGCCAAATTGTGCCCCCAAAACATTTAAGTGACAGTTATACAGGTTGTGGGTTCCTTTACATAATAAATTTAACCAAATTGTTTGTATTCCTTATTAGGATAAGTCAGAAATTTAGAACATTATTAAAGGACACAGTTACATAGAGATGTCCTAAGTTTTCAGTGTAGCAGTAAAATAGCAACAAGACATTTGATCTCTAGCACTTTTCTTTCAAGGAGTTCAAAGCATCTCACACAATCTATGTGTAGTTATTTTGTAACAAAATATTTTAATTTTTGCTTTCCATTTGAAAATGAGATAAAATTGAATCTGTCTGAATTTTAAAATTAAGAATAAGAATTGATCAGGCTCCAGAGTTGAGGAAATTTTATAAATCTGAAATGCTGCTGTTATGCCTTGAATCTGAATGCAGTTTCTATGAGCTTTTCTTGCCATATATGTTTCACTGTAAAATAAAATTTGTCATGTTGTTCAGTGAATTTTTTTAAAGAATGTCAGATAGTGATAATTACTCAATAATTAACATTTTCTTTCAGTTTTATTTAAAAAAATTATAAATTTAAAAAATGTCATTTTGGAAGACATCAGTTTATTGGGAGTTTTCCTTTAAACTGAGACCTTTAGAAGTTTTCTTTAATCTACTAGATTTGATGGCCTCAGTCAAGTTTTGGTGAAAGAAATGTAGTTGAGTGTAGTGTTGAGGTACAGAAACTTAGGGGTCAGAATTTTATCTCTAGCTATTGACTGGCATGTAACTTTGATAGTTATTTTTGAACTTCTAGTCCTGTAGATGAAATAAAATGAAAGTTAAAAATAGAAAATAGCTGTTAAAAATAGAAAATAGTTGCTTCCCAACTTTTTCAGTGGCTGACAGACTACTAGTACTCTTTCTTTTGGAATAAGGAGAGGAAACTACTAATAACACAACTGATGATAGAATATCTATTTTTATTTTGAGCCACTTGGTAAACTTATGTTTATCTAAAATTTAAATGGGATTGAGGCCCTACATTTGATCAATCATTGCCTATGATGCTAGCTAGCTTTGAGCTAAGTTAAAGTTTCTAATTACTACTTCCCATCTTGTAAAGGACAGTCTCCCTAATCCTCTCTCCCAAGTTGCTATGAGGTAGGGTCAAAATGCTTTAGGTAAGTCTGTGGGTAAAATGATTTCTGTAATCCACTGTCCTGTTGAGCCACTGTAACAGTTGCTGGGTGTGTGTGTCTGTGTTTAGGGGAGGTTATTGTTGTTGCATTGGGATGAGGAAATCATCTGGGGGCCATGCTTTTGTTAAAAGGTGTTTCACATGTAAGACCACTTGAATTTATGTTTCTGAAGACTCTCCTTGATCGCTGATGCTATATAATATGGCATATGTATGTGAATACACACATGTACATCATGTATGTACATATATGTATATGTATACACACATGTACATACATACATGTATATACCCACACACTATATGGTAGTACTAACTGGGTGTTTCTTATTGTGATAGGAAAGTAAAAGAAAAAGGCATGATCTTTGCATTTCATCTCTTAGTCTTGTGGGAGAACACTTGTATGTGTGAAACAGCTTTGGCTACTTAAAGTATTATACACTAAAAACAAATGCAAAATGAAATAATACTAATTCAGTGAGTTGGGTAGGCTTAGTCAGGGCCTTGACTTCCTCGAATATTAGAGTTTTAAGCTAGCTGGTTGTTGAATTTTTGTTCTCAGGAGGTTTTCTAAGATAGCATGTGCTCAATTTCATCTGTTACATATCTTTTGCTGTTTTTATTTGCCCCTCATTTCTCTCACTGCTTTGAGTATACTGAGTTGTACAGTTTTAGTTGAGGTGTGAGATTATTGGGTTTCCATGAAATAGGAAGCATTTTAGAAGAATCTGGAAGTTGGTTTTTATATATACATATATATATATACACCCACACATACACACATATACATATATATCTATATATACGTACACACATGTACTCACACACACACATTTGTTTTAATCAGATGTCAAAATCTAATGATCCTCCAGGTTCTTTGGATCCACTGAGCTCTCAGATTCTTTCTTCCAGGACTTTAAGTTAGCAAAACAACTTAATAGCATGGTTACTTCTAGGGCTAAGAACTCCAGAACCGGCATGCCATATGATATTTCCATTGCACTTCCCACTGTTCTGCTGTCTGTATCTTCATAGCTAGCCCCAAAGTATAACCTATCTCCAATTCCATAAACAGAGTCTGCACTATGACTTTAATTTGGGTATTTTTCCAGAGCCCCACAGCATCTACATCTGGCTTTGGGGGGAGGTGATAGATATGAAATGAATTGATAGGAAAAAAATGAACAACATCAATGAAATTACTGCAAGGGAACATGAAATTTATGTACAGTTTATACATTAAAATGGCATATATAAAGAAAATTCAGAGAAGTACTGAAATTTTGAAATTATATTTCATTTTTCCTTAATTTCATGGTAGTTTATGGTCTACACCATGTCCATCACCTTTTTTTCTTGTCTTGTTTATTAAAATGATATGGGAATGGAATGATTCCAGTGTATGGATTTTCTTGTTTGCTGAAGGTTAAACAGAAACTCTTTTTTAAAAAATGTTCTAGGTAGTAGTATAGTCCAAGAAGAATTATGTTTGTGGTCAGGAAACCATAGTTCAATTCTAGCTCTGTAACTCAAGTCACAGTTTCTCTTTGGGCCTCAGTTTACTCATCTGCAAAATGAGAAATTGAATTAGACACTCTTCCTTCTAATCATAAAACTCATTGATTCAGAAATATAATTTATTTCTTTGATTGTGAATTCTGTATCATCTTAGTCATTCTGATTTTTATTGAACAGTATACTAGATGAAGAATGGTATAGGGAAACTGGAAGTTAAAAAAATTCATGATGTTCCATAGGAAAGGATTCCTGAGATTAGATAGTAATTTTCCTTTTCTGAAATTAGAATATATAAATTGCATTTCATCGATGGTTTCACAAAACAGGATTTTATTGTATTACGGATATTAATACATTATTCTTTTCTTGATCAGAACTTTTTCCTTGGTTGTTTTTCCCCCCAGCATAACATTTATGTGGAGTAAAAACTTTTTTTTTTTCATAATGTTCCATCAACCAGAAATACTT